AAGGAAGGAAGGAGGAGGAGGAAACAGCAGAGAGTGTTAGTAGTCCGTCGATGGAGAGTAGTGAAAGGTTTTTTTAGTTATAAAGTTTGCGAATGGACCACACTTACCACGCAACAGGACAGAATGAACCCAAACGGTCATCTGCGAGGAAAAGAAGACGCAACTTCACTCCTTGTGATGCACTCTCTGCGGTGCTTTTCCTCCTGATGATATATCTCCCCAACGATGGTAGCACCGAATCCCATTCTGTGCATTCAGCCTCTCTTCTCGCCCGCTCAGCATCAAACACATGGAGTTCCTCATCTGTGTGCTCCGGCTCAAACAGGTATGGCTCTGGATCTGTGTCAGCTACAAGAAACTCATCAAAATCACGTTCAAAGTCGTCCATTGCAGATACTATAGTCAGGAGATATTGCTAGGCTAAATAAACAGCTGAGCTCTGTTTACAGGCTACGTTGTCAGTCAGTGTGCAGGCTGGAGATTGGTGGAGCAGAGAGGGGAGGGGGGTCCCCGCTAGGTATTGTAAACGAGTATGTGTGTATGAAGTGTGTGTGTTACGCTAGAAGAGTCAGAGTTTGGGACAGAGTCTTTTACCCCCTGGAATGTTACTGGAGTTTTTGGAGTGCTCAAATAAACGGGCCTTTTTCCCAAACGCTCCTCTGGTCTCCTGCTCGTGAGGGATTCATTACAATATCGTAACATGGTTTAGATTTCTAAATAAATATTCACCTCGTCACTAGATAGACCTACTCCTGAAAAACTCGTGCGCAAGGCTTTTTGTCCCTACGAGGCCACCGTCATTTACCCGACGGGAGGGGTGAGCGAATGAGTCCTGCAATCTAGAATTTGACCACTGATGTCACTGTTTTCAACCCATTTTACACACTGGCCCTTTAACAGTTCATATCATATATTTCATTCAGTTATTAGCTATTCATCCTGTGGTGGTGGTCCTGCCTTGTACCAGCTCTTTGTGACGGCCTTTTTACGGGCTGCCAAATAAGTTTTAGATGTGTGAACAATGAGAATACTGAGATGATTTCAGCTGATCTGAATGTGTTTGCTTTGCAGAAGTGGAGAAGTACAGGAGAGGAAGAGACATGAAGTCTGAGGAGCACATACCGCAATGCTTAGATAATTAGTTTCATATATGGTAAAAAGAATAGAAAGTGATGTACAGATAGTAAGGTACAGCACATGTAGGGAGTTGTGTTGTTCTCTTGTCTTTCAAAACAAGAACCACGCCCCCACCATCAGCGGGAAGGAGTCAGATTAACACGAGGCAGGGGCGTGGTGTGGCAAAGGAGGAAGTGGAACCACCAATGAGAAGAGGACAACGTCTCGCGTGCACAATGACACTCTGTTACGCTCAAATATACTGGGTCAGGGAAAGGACAGGAGGTCAGACTTCGTGAACTGACACACCTTTGTTGTTCGTCAGGGACGTGAAGTTGAGACCCAGAGCTCTGTAATTTTATTCCTTTACTGCTTAATAAACTACATTAACTGAGACCAAATATCTTCTCCTATTGCTTCATTAAAGAACATGCAGGACTGAGCTCACACATAGCACACTGGAGAGTAGGATGAGCCTCGAGTCCCACAAAGTGCTTAAGTAAAATATCGTACTGTCTCTGTCTAGCCCAAAGATTTCATGATAACCATATGAACATTGACCCACAACAGTGCCATTTCAGGACACAGCTAAATACATGAGTATGATCCACATTTATTGCCCCACATCTTCTCCATCATGATTGTGCTGTAGACAGGTATTTGCTCTTAATTTAAGATGTAATAAAGCATCTAATTATATTCTTCCAGCAGTGCTCTCTCCAAGAACTAGAGGATGTTGTAGACTGTTGTGTTCTTCAAATATGCAGCCATTTTATATTTAGTGTTGTATTTCCTCTTCTCCCTAATAGATATTGATATAGGGTAGATATTATTTTATATTTCTTTGATTTGTAAACTCCAGTTATGGTTCTGATTATTGCATTTTCATACAAATTTACAGTATGCTTTATTTCTCAAATAAGTCCTGCAGTTGCAAATATCTGAGCTGGTCCTGGTTGTTTAATGCATAATTTTGTTTCAGTTCTTGAAAACTCATAACGTTCCCATCTTTTATTATTGTGCATAGCACTGTTACGCCACAGGAAATCTATTGTTTGAGCCTTTGGTCAAATGTACCCGGGATAAAATGTCTGTCATAGGCAATCCATTGAAGTAGCTTAAGATCTTTCTCTAATCTATACAAGATCATTTTTAAAATTGTGGTTCAACCTAATACAGAAATAATCGATCTTATCCATCTTGCAGGGTCACTTTATCACAACAGTTGCTGCTAATCATTCAATTTGCTCAGTAATTTTTTTCTTTTTAATTGCAATGGCTGTATTTTAGTGTCTACTGTTGGTTGAGCTAACTGTATTTGGCTTACTTGCTGTACAACCAATTGCCCTTCAGGGACAAAATAAAGTTGAAGTGAAAATGCTCAAGCGCTGATTTGCCTCTGACCTGGGGCTTTTGTTGGGGAGCTCCAAAAATGGTTGGCGAGTGGAAAATCAGGAAGCATCAGTTGGATAGGGACGATATGATCCTGTGCATTTTCGAGTGCCTTTGTACTTGGAGCGGACACCAGGCCCATACAGACAGACACAGGTGGGTTTTGGGGCACAGCTGTAAGTACATACAGCTTAAGTGGCAGAGGTCTCATTAGCCAAAGTAAACTCGTGTGTGGGCGTTAAAGCCACTTTCTCTGCATCACCTGCGTTGGAGAGTCTTCCACTGGAGTACTTTAACATGAGAGAACTGAAGAACTCTTGCTACTTTCCTCATGACTGCTGCTTTTTGGTGTGTCTTGGATGTCTTATGTTTTTAGTAAAAAAAAAAACAATTTCCATTTGTAAAATAAGAGACCATTCCAAAATCATCATTAAGGTAACCTTATGAAAAAATTCAAAATTACAACGTGTTCACAACATACACCTTTAAAGGTAAATGCAAAATGTTTTTGGACATAATGTGATAATGATGTCAAATGAAGAGACAGAAACATTTTGAAAAGCATTTATGATAAGTCATTGAGCACACCCCCAAAGAGTAATGTGGCATTAGCTGGCTACCTGGATTTCCCCTAGATCATTTGTAATTTCATTTCTCAAAAAGAAATACAAAACAATTAAATTTAACTGAAGCAGTACTAATACAAACTCAAAAAAGGAAAGAAAAAATATGTAACACACCACACATTGCCAAAATTACACAAATGTTACCTGTCAGGCTATTCTCATAGACCATTCCTATGTTTTCCTATGAAAAGTAATGCACCCAAATTCATACATATCCCACATATTTTGAAAGGCTACCATCACATGACCAATGCACTGGTGCGAGTATTCATGGAAGCAGTCCTGAGTGGTCTTGCAAGGAAACAGGTTGGGGTGGTGGAAGGATCCCAGAAACCCAGACTTTCCCCTGGAGACGTGTTCAGAACAGTGTGAACTTTGAGTCATTTTAAAGTACGTTCTCACCATGCTTTTTTTCCTAAACCTAGAAAGGGATGGCAGAGGAGATACCCACATTCCAATACAACTGCAAAAATAATCAATTTATTCAAGACATCTGTGCACAAACAAAGTTGCTCAAAAAAGATGATCAGTGCACCGATGATAGGCAAGGACTGAAATGTTTGCTGCTGTTTTTACTCCTTTTATCCTTTTTTGCACTTTAAGCACCTTTTTGTGCATATATGTCTTAAACAGATTATTTTTGCACCGATTTCCGCCTGTTGACCCCTTTGTGGCTTTCTAGCTCAGTTACATTGGTGTGCAGGTATCTTCTCTGCCATCCTTTCTTGTCTATCTATTGTACCAATGCACACGAGACAAACTTTTTTGTTGCCCCAAGTAGGTGCAGTTTCACAGCAACCCTAAGACTTCTCCTAAGCCTAACCACAGTAACCTTTATTGCCTTAACCTAACCTCTAACTTTACGTTAATTGCATAACTGTACGTTGAGAACATAACGTCATTTGTGGGGCACTAATTTGTAGGATATCATGCGAACCCTTCTATGAGGATACTCTGCACTAGTGCATTTTCAGGCATCTGTGAACATATCCAGTGTCACCCAGTAAGCTACAACACAGGCTTTAATATCTGCACAATATATATGAATCAGCATTCAGACTAGTGGTAAGGCTCCACAACCTAATGAAGAAAAAATAAACAAAAAGCATTGCTAGTCTAAACCCTTGAAATACGCAGAGATCTAAAAGGCAGACAGCTTAACTATTCCAAATTTCATGTTTAACAAAACAAACTCACCCTTTGGTCTCAGAGAAGTAGCTGTGGCTGACAGCAATACACCTCAATCCCCAAACACAAAAATAAAAGATCGATTATCAGTTTATGCTCACATCAATCTAACATTCACACAATCATACGTGCATCTACCTATCCATGTAATTTATTCTTCGGTACATTTATGGCATGTCGTCTTCTCCTCCCCTGCATATGTCAGACAGTTTCTCGAAGTAAGATCCCCAAAGGCAGTTGTTGTCCTGGTCTCTGCTGGACATGGGGTGCTGTTGGGTCATTGTAGACTGCCTTCAGGTACTGAGAGAGGAGCAGAGGATGTACAGTATGTTCTCATTTTACAGAACTTACAGAACATACAGAACAGTTTTTTTTCTTTACATATACAGCAGAATCAAGGCAGAAAAGATGGAGAGGGAGGATGATGTATCCAAGTATCAAAGCATATTTTAAAAATCATGCGATGACAAATAAACATGATCATGAACAACTAGGACACCAAAAAGGAGCCTTGTGGGGTTTAAATTCAATCATTTTGCTTGTGTTGACTCATAACCTATAACTGTGGCTCCCAAGTGGTCCGGCTGCGGGGTCCAGATTTCTCCTTAGTCATTAATTCAAGGTCCACACAGTTTAATATATTCCTATCATACTTGCACTTGGCCATGCCGTCAAGCTAGTTTGCCGTCTCTGTCAAGTAGCTGTCCATTAGTCACTGACTCTACAGCAAGAAATAGCACTTTAAAATAAAAGCTCTACGCAGGAAATTCATTATACTTCAAAATAAAGCATGCTTTATACAAACTTGACACATAAGTGAGTAACTTGCGGTCCATTCAGAATGGATCCATGACCCACCAGTTGGGAACCACTGATCTATAAGATATGAAGAATATACATTTGTGTGTATGCTCTGATAAAGATATTGGGCTTGCTAATGCTACCAGCAGCTTTAACCTCTTTTACACTGACTGTTCAAGGCAGGAATATCAAGTTGTTATGCTGCCTCGCCATGCTGTACATAAGGTACGATCGCAGAACATGGGGATGGAGTTGTTTTGCCTCTGAGGTGGGAACAGAGTAACAGCTGAAAACACATATCTTTGCTGCAGGACAGAATCATGGGCAGCATTGGTGTGTGATGTTTTGACAATGTGTTATTCCTGTGACCCACCATGAGAGATTTAAAAAGTAGCTGTTAGCACTTAGTAGTTAGCAGCTAACTCAAAAAAGAAGAGCAGCAGCTGTAAATGTCTGTAGATTGGGAAAATAATGAAGTCCAGGAGCTGCTTACCCTCTGAGCAGAAGACGAGATCATGAAAAAAGGACATCATAGCGGTCTAATAGTGTGATCTCTGTAAAAAGGGCTTTTGTGTGAGAGGCATACTGGGTGTATGATCAGCATATGAAATGGACCTTGGCTTACCGCACATCACTGTCAACAGCATGATCCTCCCGTTTTGACATTTGCTTCTGTATTGGATCAGGCACTTCACTGACATCCTGCACATTTACCACCACTGTGGCAGTGGCAGTGGGCAGCGGAGTAGCAAAAGGAACCTCGTTCTCCACTGCAATCAACAGAATGTGCTTGCTGCTCCTCTCAAAGTCAAGACCCTGCATGGAAAGAAAAGCACAGCAGCACATTTCATCAGACAAATGTTATCCAACTCAAACTACTGGAAAAATAAAACTTTAATTCCCTCTTCACTTTCTTCAACTTAGATAATACATAACAGTGAGTGTTATCTCATAAACTTACAATAGGTCACCAACAAATATCACAACTTTAATACTGTGTCTGATTTGAGAGTTCCTGATTGACTTCCTACCTTGGCAGTAGCAATGATTCCTTCATGTTTGTTACTTCCTGTTGTCACATTGAAAAGTCCTCCAGGATCACCATCGACAATTGTGAACTTGGCGTTCCAGGCTAGGGAATGTGGCTCATCACCATCTGTTACTGACATCGTAATGACATGAGCATCCACTTCATTTTCTGCAACTGTTGCCTCATACTGGAAGAATGCAGAGGGATGAGTGTTGGAAGTGAAACAAAGTGAAAGCAAAGATTGGAAAAGCAGTTGCTGTTGTTAAATAATTATTCCTTTTTTTAACCTTGGTCTTAATTTCATGATCTGCATCATCAAGCAGTTGAGTTCATTACTTCCCTGCACAGCTATGGGATTTTCTGTTTGATGTTTTTCACTTAAAGTCTCCCACAGACTGTGAGATTTTTACAATCTTATAAGTTTAGTGCAAGATACACTGTGGGACATGGATCTAATAAACTTGGGCAGGACATCAAGTCTGATGTATGGAGACTGTACGATGACAATGCCTACTGACTACGACGTAAGCCATTGACGTCAATACACAAGAACAAAACGTGCGCCATCCATTCACTCCGCTGAAGTGGTAAGAGAAAAATGAAAACAAACATGAATCGAGCCCTTGCTATAGTGGCATTTATGTGTGTTTAAAAAAAAGTCTGAAGAAGAAGAGGAGGAGAATGTGGACATGGTCGTGGCTGGGGAAAAGAGGCTAACTTGGCATGCCGATTTTGGAAGTTTGAAGTTTGTATTTATTAGTATCTACTAGCCTTTAGCAATCACCAGCGTTTAACGTTAGTGTTATTTCATGCTGCATTTCTTTGGTTGGTTAGTAGACATAGGTTATCACAGCAGTCACACTGTGAGATGGTCATCTCAAATTTATGACACTGTCAGAATTTAAGACCGTGACAGCAACCATGAACCTCTCACTGTGCGATGTAGGACCACCGTTTTAGAGCCATGACCAAAGATATTACCACGTTTTTTCATGTTGCTCATCTGCAATTGTTGGTCATGTTGCTCATGTTGCTCATCTATTGCTCAGCAATTTTGGGCTGTCTGGGGGCACAGTCTATATCAGGCTTAAGTTAGGCCAACATGTGCTTAAAACTCACCTCCCCATATCAAACAGATCTCTTAGTGTAAGATTTGTCATCACATGTGAAATGTATTGTTAAAGATGTAAAGATAATGCAAGAGTAGTCTTTATTGCATACAACCTACTACATTACCAAAAAATGATTATGCAAAGCTGTTATTGCCAAAAAGTTGGATGAATTGGCGGTTCATACATTGTCACCTTTAAAGCCATTACTTAAAAAAACACTGACTATTGTTCCTTCTACAGCCCCATGAACACTACTCTGAAGCTGGACGCATCTGCTGTGCCTAGTTATGGATGCGAAGCTATGATTGGAGAACTGCTTCACTGGGGAGGTGTTAAGTAAGTAATTTTCCAGTCACAATTACACTGTACTTACAGAGTGCTGAGTGAAGGCCGGAGCATTGTCGTTCCTATCTGTGACAGTAAGGATCACTTTTGCTTCTCCAATCCACCCTTCTCCCATCATGTCTGCTGCTTGTACCACTAGAGTGTAATTTGGGTATTTCTGTTAGAAGAGACACACAATGAGTTTAACTCATCAACTGGAAGACTTTTTGTTGTCATTAACAGACTCAGTCAATCCATTCAGAAACTTTAAATAGCTGAAAAACTAATGACATCCCCATTAGCCCCGGCTGGTGTAATGTCACATGATGATTCCTTCTGTCGTTCTAAATATTGGCTCCAGCTAAGAGTGGTATTGTAACTTACCCTGTGGGATGTCAATCTATATGCAACAAACATTTTGCTTGATTAACAATCCAAACTGTAAGCTGAAGCTAACTAAGCTATGCAAAGCCTGGTTTTGATATTAAAGATTAAATGATGACCTTACCTGGTTATTCTATCAAATAGGTGTCAATATCACAATATTTCACTTCTGGCCATTCAGTGGGATCATATCCCCACTACTGAGGTAGACCGACAATATTGACTTTGAGACTTTTTCTCTCTGGTAGACACAGGGTGTTACAACAATCATTTGACAGCTGAATTCCAATGTTTTTAGCTAGCTACAGGCCTTTTTTTAGTGTTTCAGTCCGCTGTGGCACTAACTGTTTTCCCCTGTAGTTGGTGTGGTACGACACGCTGCGCTCTGTCTCTATGGGATGTTTTGTTTTCTGCCTATGCTAACCAATTTCCCAAACCTGTGGTTTTGCATCAGTGTATTTCAATTTGTCACTTATGTATTGATTTCCAGATATGTTTCATTTAATCTTTCCAACCCTACCTGTCATGATCAGCCAATAGCAGATGGCTATATAAACTCTTCCATGACAGCTCCCTAATCAAATGTGTGAGAGCCTGATCAGTAGTTTCATACTTATGTTACATATCTACAATTACAGTTTTCCTATACAGGTCACTTTGGGTTCACACAATAAACAAATCAGCTTCTCGGTTGGTGTTGATGCACTTGTTGCTTGCCTCCAGAGGTTGCTTGTTTGAAATAAAGATTATTTCAATAGTTGGGTAGGAAAGCACACTAAGACAGATGAAATATGTTTTAGAAACCTCACCTCTCTGTCTAGCCCACTAGCATTAACTCTGATGACTCCAGTGACTGGGTTGATGACAAACAGGGAGTCACTAGGCAATGTTGGCTCCTGGCTTCTAATACTGTAGCGGATATCTGAGTTGTCAGTATCTGGCTGGTCAAGATCTGTGGCCACAACCTGAATCACCTCAAAACCTGGAGAGAGAGAAGTCAGAAGTGAAAACTAAGTACAGAGCTTTGTCAAAGTATTCAGAGCACTTCATCATTAAAGAGGTGATTTACAAAATAAAGCTGGGCCATACAGGGCTAATAGTAGGCTATTTTTCTTTCCAACCTTAAAATACGACTGTTGATTGTGGTGTATAGTGGTGTGTTGTGGCACTGAAATGATCCTATTGTGGTATGACACAGTATAAAGAACGGATGAATGGAAAGTGGGTTGCAGCTGAAGGCAGCGCAGCTGCGTCTGGTGGAATTGTCCTTTCCAGGTCTCTTACAGTCAAGATGGCATCAAAAAACAAGCATTTATTCATCTTGCATCATGCCTAACTTTAGTGGCTCATAGCATATGAGGTATGAGATCAATCTGAAGATGCTCCAGTTCAAAATGAGACCACACTTTTCTATGGATGTCAGTGTGAGCCACGACAAAGGCCAAAATGTGGCCTGCAACAGCTGAGACAATTGCTGGAGTTGCTTTTTGTTTCATGCTTTTGCTTTTGTTCGTTGATAACTTGCGGCTCTTACCGGCCTGTTAAGAAGAGTGTCGAGTCAGCAGTCAATGACACTATAAAACTATAAATCAAACAGGTTTTTCAACAACTGTGAATTACACAACCATGAGAGGTCCTTAAGCATGCAGTCACAAAATAATAAAAAAATATATATATACAAATATTAGGCTGATTGGTCTAGTAGGACGCACGCATGCATGCACGCGTATGCACGCACGCACACATGCATGCACCAATTGTGCCATCTGAAACTACAGTTCTCTACACAGAATTGCCCATTTAACAGTATGCTATTGACTGGGACAGTGTCGAAAACCCCATTAAAACAAAGATAAAAGGGATGTGAATTTTTAAAATTCTGGCATTCTTTTAAAAATGTTTATAACCATAATATTATTCACTCCAGAACACTATGTCATTTTGCTTTCCATTGTGGTTCGCTGCAAGGGTGTTGAATATGGTGTGGCACACCCCCGGACATGATGTCATAGCCACAGAACCTATATTTTTTTAATCACTTACTTGCTTATGATGAGCTCGGAGTTGATTTTTGGTATTGGAAATATATACCAACACAAGATAAAAATGATGATGCTTAACTGTCCCACTTAACCAGTATTCATTCCTTCCCCCTCCCCACTGTGTTGGAGCAAGTCCTGGATTTCTGTTTTCTCTATATAAAAGTTTTAGGTCAAACAGTAGAAGTTCTATCTGCTCTTTTGTCCTGTGAAAGTGAAACATACTGTTGAACGCTAACAAACATCTTTTTCAGGTTAAAATGACATCTACTGACAGTACCTATTGGTGAGGCCTCAGCAACTTCTCCTTGGAAGGTGTCTTGAGTGAAAGCAGGTTTGTTGTCATTCTGGTCAACTACTATCACTACAATATCCACAGGCTCCTCAGCAATTTCTGAACTGTCCTGATACGTAGCATGTGCCTGAAACTGCATGCAACAAACACATTTTTATTATAACACATGCAAGAATAATCCATGCAGGTGCTTTCATGTCACATCACTAGCACTCACATGGGTGAAATAATACACAATCCTGCCACTGGTTTTACACCAAATCACTGATTTATCTGTCTATTTGTTCTTCCTAAAGAAGAAAACTATGCCATAGTGAAACTACAGACTGCACTGGGCATTGTGATCCTACAGGTCTATACAATCTCCCATCAGTTTAGAAAATAGTGGACATTCTATTTCCTGACAATGACTAAATAACAGGTCTCTTTGCAGAGTTGGGCATGGACCATACATAATGATAGGTTACTGACGTGGAAGGTGTGGGTACAGTATCACCCTGTCACCAACTGATGGTTTGTTTTTACTTAAAATGAAAGGCTTTGAAGTTAATCAAGTTTAGTTTTGTATGTGTTTCTGAGAGTCAGATAATTTTATGTAATATAACAGTAATAATCCTGGCATCTTAATGATCAAGAAAAACAGGGAAATTTAAACATGACTGAGTCATGCAAGAAAATGAGAATTACAATAGTCTGAAATCACATACAGGAGCCTCATGTATGGTGAGCACAACATTGTGACACAAGATACGCATTTAGCCATAGTTTGGATATTTGATATTTTTGGGACATAATGGAACATGATGTGAGGCTTCTTTGGACATTTGCTTTTCAGGTGTGGAAATGTATTTTTTTTTTGTATTATATGAATTGAAGTCAACATAGCCACTGTTACCTGAAAGAGCAAATTACGAACAGGTGAATGTTTGATACAATCTTCAAATCACTCCTCAAAACCCACCTTTTCAAATCCGCTTTTAACCTTTAACATTAGCTTTTCGTTCTCTGTTCCTCATGTGCCCTCCTTTTCTTTGTTTTGCACTATGCTTTTGCACCTTGTTGTTTTATATTGTCCTTGTCTTCTGTTTATCTCTTTGCACTTACATGTATGTACTTCTTTTCTTTGGTTTTAAATGTAAAGCATCTTTGAGAGCTGTAAAAGCGCTGTATAAATACAGTGTATTATTATTATTATTATTAAGTATAGCTTTAAAGACATGCTGAAAAGTTGCCTAAACATTCTGAATAAACATCTGTGAGTGTGCTGATTAGTACAAATTAATGTGTAGTAATATGAAGCTCTTTTATGTTTAACTCTGATTCTAAACAAAGTCCAGGTGACTTTATGTTTAATCCTGAGATGTGAACAAAGAGTGTTTGTATAAAACTGACATCAGACGGGATGCTTACCGTGTACTTGTCTTGTTCCTCTCTGTCCAGTGACTGTGTGAGATACAGATTACCAGTATCTCTGTCCATTGTGAAAAGGCCAATACGGCCCTCATCAACTCCTGGACCAGTGATGGTGTGATAGATCTTCTTTATTTTCTTCTCATCAGAGTAGACCTGGACAAAACACACCACGGAGTTCAATGACTGCAGTGGAAGCTGACATGTCATTCTTTGCAGAAACATATATGCAAAATACAATTCAGTGTCAGACTCTCAGGCTTAGTTCCTCTTACCTGAGCTACTTTCATGGGGTAAGGTCCTCTGTCATTTTCAACAACACGGATAGGGGGAATAACCGAGTCTCTCTTCCTCCGTCTCAGCCCTTCACTAGACACTGGGAAATGCAGGGTGGGTGCCTGTGGATGGGTTGCACTCTGAAAGAACATGCATATTTGTAGCCAGTTATAGTGCAACAGACACTAGACATTGGTCTCTCACTGCTCTAAGATGCTGCATCAGTAAAGTTACAATGGCAATGCATACATATTTGATCATGTTACTTGAAAAAAAATCAAATCCTTTAAAAATGTTTTGGAAAGCAGAAAGTCAGTGCCTCTGCACCCTCATGCATTCCATTGAAAACCGCCTCCCAGCTCGTTCATTGGCCAGGAGTTCTGCTGTCCTTGACCCTCACATGTCGCTTTATGTGATCAGCATGGCAGAGGTCAACCAGGCACTTGACCAGGTGTGCTACTCATGATTGTCTGTGGAAATGTTTTAAAAATTAAGTTTTTGGGAAATACTGAGCATACGACAGGATAAATGAAACTTGGATAATACTGCTTGAGTTGTGTGAGAGTTTGCAAATGGATGTTTTGATATAGTTTTGCTGTTGTATAAACACAGTCCCCATCACTACAATTCATCAAGAAATGTCTCAGTTTGTGGTTTCTTCCTTTACTGTGGAGCCATGCAAGAAAAACAATGTTCTTCAAAATCCAGGATCACATGTGATGATGATATAGAAATGATCACTTTGGGGCATTCTGGGGATGAAGTATTCTTTAAAGACTAACTCTTGTGCAATGACGATAAAGTCTATTCTAACTACACCCCAATTCTACTAGAACCCTCCCTCTCAGCATGTCAAGAAAAATGCAACAGAGGACAGAGGAGTGAAAAGCATGGATATCATCGTAGAGCTGGTAGTTAGGGCTAACAAGCGAGCAGCTGATGTTGGACTCCAGGCAAGCGACTGTGGCTCAGGAGTTGCAGGTGGTTCCTCATATAGTAGCCTCAGCCAACCATGTATGAACGTCTGTGTGAATGGGTGAATGCAGGTGTAAAAAGCTCTTTGAGTGTTTGGAAGACTAGACAGGCACAAAACAAAGTCCATGTTAAATTCCACTTATCATTACCATATCTCCAATGGTAAGACAGATAATCTGGTGGAGCTTTGAAAGTCACCACAAGTACCATTATGGCTCCTTTCCCTTTGAGAGAGTCACTGTGTTGGTACCTGCATTGCAGCTCCACGACGAGATGTGTGTGTCTCTGTGGGGAGTGTCACTGCATAGCTATAGCCCTATTATTGTTCATCAGCCCCACATATCTAAAACTCTGAATGAGGTGTTTAGGTTTCGGTTAATTTTGCTTTTAATAGACTGTTGACCGTTAACAAGTAACCAACTGGTTAATTTTTAAGAAAAAAAAGTGAAATACAACAGGCCTTTCTTTTCTGTCTAGCACTCAACTCAGTGAGCTTTGGCGCTGCATGTCAAAGCACTTTTCAGTGGTAAAATTTGAATGTTTTGTGATGTATGTCTTGCATTTTATTTTACTTTCTGTTTGCTTTGAGAACAGACAGCCATCCAGCCAGGTTAGCATGTAGAAACATAGTCCCCATTGCTCAACCTCTGGTCTCCACTGGTAAGCTAACATTAGCCTTGGCTAGCTAGCTAGCACTGCCGCTCATTTGGTGATTACCACTGGTAACTAGACGCTGTTGCTGCAGAAACACTGCGTCCACCCTCCAGTCTCCCACCAGGTCGCCCCGGTGAGTAAGTCGCTTCATTTTGAGCAGCAAAAGCCCAACAGACCCTTTTACTGTTAATAAACAGTACGACATTTTTTGGTGGCTGGGGCTTAGCTGGAGGTAAAACAATTCTCTACAGACAACAGCTAGCAAGTTCTGTTAGCTTGTTTTCGATAATGGAGGAAGATGATGCAAGTGGTGCATTCAGAAATACTCATTCCAAGTGCCGGAGCGCACTCTGGTACAAACTGGATCATTCGTATATTCAGAGCACCGTTGGAATGTTCGGTTACACGGAGCACTGCACTGTCAGAATGGCAGAGGTCACTCTAGGCTCTATGTCCGGGGAAACAATCAATTGATCAATCAATTTTACTCATAAAGCCCAATATCACAAATCACAATTTGCCTCAGAGGGCTTCACAGCATACAACATCCCTCTGTCCTTTGGACCCTCACAGCGGCTAAGGAAAAACTCCCCCCAAAAAAACCTTTAACGGGGAAAAAAAAGGAAAAAGGAAGGAACAGAGCAGCAGAGTGCCAAGCAGAGTTAGTGTGTGATTAACTTAAGTGTTCATTCATTTATATAGAAATATAACGACCAACAGGGCTCTCGTTTAAGTGCAGAGCATCAGATTGAATTTACGATCGCGCAACATCAGGTCACTCACTCTCTGAGACCACAAGTGTTATTTGAAGTAAACACTGACCAACGGGACCAGAGTGGCCGACTTGTATGCTCTCATTCAGTGGATGGATGATTTGACAGGATTGCAGAGGGTGGGATGGCTACCCCGGGGGTTGATTATTAGGCATATCTTTCAAAGGAGGACGACATTTGAATGGTTTCTTCCAGTTTGTTTTGCTATCAATGTTACTGTTAGCTAATGCGCTAAAAGTTAGCATTACGGAGAAATTCAATATTCCTCTTAATACCTCCCGAGTTTCTGATGAGGTGGACATGATACTCCTCAATACACATAACATTATTCATCCCTACAACAGTAAATACTTTTCCCCTAACTTCATATGAAGTGTGCAATGCACTTGCGAGCATTTTTGATGATTGCCTCCATCTAGTCCTTTCGTCTTATCACATTTAAAGCTATAGTGCGTAACTTCTACAGGTCCGTAAATGTCCGTTTCACCCAAGCCACTACTAGAGATGACACAATGCAGATTAAGCCGATCGGCTCCTCTAACATCTCGTGGTATTTTTCAATATCATTTTTAGTATGCGTGTCGACCAGCGACATTCCCGCGCTGGCACACAGGAAATGCTTCCTCACAACAAGAAGGGAGGGGGAGGAAGAGCGGAGAGTGTCATAGCAAGAGGTAGAGCGCAGGTAGAAAGAGAAAGCAACTTGGCGGAGAAGCGGCCGAGACACGGTTCAGAAGAGGATCCTACCACAAAGGCAAGTGTTACTCTGTGTACGGTGTGTGGCGACTGGCAAGTGTTACTCTGTGTACATGGAAGTGCCGCCGGCTTATTAGTTGTAATAACGCATTATCCGCTGGGAGGCGACAGAAGTTATGCACTATAGCTTTAACCATAGTTGTCTTTGTTTTTGTTGATGGGCAGTGGCGACTGGTAGACCTATGCAATAATTATGCTTTGAGCAGAGGTGGAAAGTAACTAATTACATTTACTCACGTTACTGTAATTGAGTAGTTTTTTGTGTAATTTGTAATTTTTTCAGTAGTTTTTCAAATCTGTAATTTTACTTTTACTTAAGTAAATTTTGACTGAAGTATTGTACTTTGCTACATTTGAAATCACATCCGTTACTGAGTAAAACAAACAAAAAAAAAACAACAAAAAAAGTTTTCGGCTAAATGGAAACCAAAAGGGTGAATCTCGGAAACCTCATGCGGAATTGACCTAGAACAAGCGGCCGGTGCCGGCGAGTTACTGGAGAGAGAGATTGAGGAGGGTGGGAGTGCTTCGGCAGAAGCACAAGCAGACGCAGCAGTTGAAAATCAACGAAGAAATGAACGAAACAAAAGAAAACCCTGTTTGCACAGTGCCGTTTATAATTGTCGGTCAGAAAAATGCGGCCCGAGCCGCGCTCCTGTATGCTCACCTGTGTGTGTGTGTGTGTGTGTGTGCGCGCGCACACATGTCTGTGTGTGTGTGCGCATCGGGGCTGAACTCCGTCGTACGCGATACAGAGAGCAGAGGAGGATTGTAAAGGTGCGACCAGAAATGACATGCCGTCATGTAAACAATGTAAGTCATCACGTTATGTGAAACGTTTATAACACCAAAAATAGTATATTATATTATTATATGAAGCGTCTGTTGCTCAAAATAATATAACTTTAGTTTATGAAGAGACGGAGCAAAAAAAAAAATTAAAATAAATCAGCAGCAGCAGTCATATTTCATCAGCGGAGCACCACCGCTGCTAGCTGCATATAGGGGAAACTGTTGCTCAATGGATTTGTTCTGTTTTGGAATACACAGTATTCTTCCAAATTAGTGTATTTTAATATTGAGAATTTCGCTTCGACAAGCTCTGTCTTTTTTGACTATAAATCTGTTTGCATCTCTGAGAATAATGCCCAACAACATTGCTCAAAAAGTTGCTCTGTGTATCATCAGTCTAACAGTTGTGTTGGTGAGTCAAAATGAATGAGGGCTGCGCAATATTAGACAAAACTGACAATGCAACGACGATTTTGTATACTGCGATATGTATTGCAATATACAGTGTATTGCAATAACTTGAATAGCTCTATTTGGAAAGAAGTCATTTGGGATTTGGAAAGGCTGTAATTTGCATGAAATACACATTTTACAATCTGTCATGGAAATTGAGAACTTCACAACCTCAAGTATTAACCAGCAAAACAAGTATGGCATATTGCCTTTGACTAATATTATATTTAAACTTATACTGCGAGTCTCACAATGTGACTATTGCGATGGTGATGCTCTAATGATATTGTGCACAGGGCGTAAAATTAACACCCGCCAAGCGCCAATGGCGGGTAAAAAATTTGTTTGGCATGTAAAACAAAAACACACACCCGCCAGTGGCCGATGGAAAATTTTGAATTGCATGTGGGTTTTTTATGTGCTTCGACCATTTCTGCCAGCTGTGTCAGACCATTTTGACCCTTGCAGCTTATTGTACTTGTGCCGGGAACGCATGACCTCAGCTACCGGAACCCTGGGCATTCTATGGTAACTTCTGAGCAAGATGTGGTGACACATTTCTGCCGTGAAGCCACCGCCAGAAGAGGAAAAACGAAGATGAACATGTTGGATTTGGACAGGAAGAACAGACAGTTAAACAGAGTACAAATGTCGTACGGCATTTTATTGAAAAATGGAAACTAGACAACGCTGGCCAGCCGCGGTCATGGCTGACCTATGACCCCCACACCAATATG